TGTATAACCCAAACGATCATAAAATCCTAAATAAGCATACGGTTCTCTTCAAATTATGCACATCACAATATTTTTATTAGCCCAAGGTCTGGTGTGAAGATGGGATGCATCGGTTCACTCCTTTTGGTACCTCCCCCACCAAAGGGCCAGAATTTGGAATAGCCATAAAGCTCGTAAAACGCGAAATAAGCATCTGATTTTCATCAAATTTCACACATCTAAATATTTCTACTAACACAAGATCTACTGTGAAGATAGGATATATCGATCCACTACATCTGGTAGCTTCCCCACAAAGGGTGTACATTTTCAATATCCATGAAGCTCATATAACGCGAAAATAACATCCGATTCCATCCAAACTTTGTACATCTCAATATACCCATCAACACAAGATCTGTTATAAAGATTGTGGAGCGAGATTCGAACATTTCTTCTGGTACCTTGCCCACATAGGGTTCAAGATTATGAAAAACAAAACGTTCAAAGAAAACGAAATCAGCATCCAAATCTCTTCAAATTTCACACGCACATACATTTTTGCTAACACAAGTTCTGTTGTGAAGGTGATATATATCTGGCGAACCCCTTCTGGTACCTCATCCACAGAGGTTCACAATTTTCCATACTTTTGTCTGTCATAACTTGCGTAACAAGTCAGCGATTCTTTACAATTTGCTATATCTAAATATTTCTCTCAATCCAGAACCTGGGATGAATATGGAATTGAACAAAAGTTTGAATAATTATAAGAAGGGTCAAAATATACATATTTAAATTATCGACTATTGGCTAAGGGGATATACAACTGTCGGTAAAAATGACTGATACTGTTTAACTTGTTACATTTACAATTTATACCTAATAATTTTATAGCATACTTTTAGGCGTTCCCAAAGATTTCTTAAACGACATGTTTCTTCTAAATGTTACAAATCATTTCAAGAAACATCTAGGGCAAGGCAACTGAAAAGCCAATTCTAATTCATTTTCCCAAGATTTCCATATGTCAATATCAACAAATTTCGATTTGAATTTGATGGCAATATTTATTTGCTCATAGAAAGGAAAACGAATCACATCCATTTGAAATGATGATATATGAATGTCGATATGTATGTCTGTCTATCTGTCTGTCTGTGAGTAAAATCCCCAAGAGAATTCACAACATGTAAATCTTTGCAATGTAACCATACCAAGAAATTCATTCATTCCAACATTCTTTACTTTTAAACATTTTTATCCTTAAACTATGATAGACAAGCTTCAAAACAGAGACCGATGATGACGACATGGTACATATTTCACAAAATCCCCCATACTATGGTGTTCATGTTACTGCATTTTTTTGTGAGTTTTGGGTTTTATTTAACAAACTCCAGGCTACAATGTTAGGGGGAGTGATGCACACATCCTTTTGAAAAAAATAAATGCAGGTTGTTTGAGTGCTGTGTTGTTGTTGTGTTTGTGTTCAAATAAATTGAATACAATTTGTGCTGAAGTGTGTGTTGATAGATCTGAAATGTATTTTTGTGAACAAAGTGATGGATAAATACAGTGGAATGTTGTTTTGATACCGACCGACCGAGGGAAGAGCAAGCAGCAGTAGTACCGACAAAAGCTAGAGTCAACAGGATATGTGTTTGAATGTTTTTTTTTTTCTTTCTCTGTTTCTTTTTTTCTGAAATATGTTGAATTTTTAGTTCCCATGTTCACTTTTTTTCTTCTTCACGAGAACAAAAAGTGATTGGGTATGGAGTTATTTGATGGATGTGGATGAGTTGGCGAGAAGAATGCAGCTAGCATGTGGTGTGTGTAGTGTTAGGTGTTGAATACTAAATATGAATTGATATTTTGGGCTTTCAAAAAAAAGTAGTAGTTGCTCAGAAAAATGATCAAATGATTCTTTGGGAGAAATAATAAAAAAAAACATACCCACAAAAAATGATGATTGCCAGTAAAGTGCGTTTTTATACCCTCAGATATAGGGCTAGAACGGATATATATTATTTGATACGGCCAAAACGTGTCTCATCCAAATAACGATTTTAGACCCAAGGTATTTTTGAACCAAATCCGTTTCAGGACATTTTGGAGTCGATCTAGCGATGTCCGTCCGTCTGTTGACCTGTCTAGCTGGCTGGTGTGCACAATAACTCTCGAAGGGAGTATCCGATTTGATCCAAACATCATAATATTATTGTACAACTTAGATTGAGTTCTGAGATGGACAATATCGGTCCACTCCTTCTGGTACCTCCCACATAAAATGACAAGATTTTGAAAGAAAATAATTTACTGCACAGAAAGAGAAATGATAATCCGATTTTGCTGCAACTTTGCGAATCCTAATATTTGCATCAGTGCTAGGTCAGATGCGAAAATGGACAATATAGCTAAACTCCATCAAGTACTTCTCCTACAAAGGGTCAAAATTTTGAATAATTATAATTCACATAAAATGTGATGTAAGTGTCCGATTGTCTTCAAATTATACACATCATGATATTTTTATTAACCCAAGGTCTGGTGTGAAGACGGAATATATCGGCCCACTCCTTCTGGTACCTCCCCCACAAAGGGTCATCATTTTGAATATCCATGGAGCTCGTAAAACGTGAAATTAACATACGATTCCATTCAGACTTGGCACCTCTCAATATTTCCATCAACACAAGTTCTGTTATGAAGATGGTAGAGATCGGGCCATTCCTTCTGGTACCTGCCCCACAAAGGGTCAAAGTTTTAAATAACCAAAACGATTATAAAATCCGAAATAAACATCTGGTTCTCTTCAAAGTACACACATCACAATATTTTTATTAACCCAAGAGCTGGTGTGGAGATGGAATATATCGGTCCACTCCTTCTGGTACCTCCCCCACAAAGGGTCAACATTTTGAATATCCATGAAGCTCATACAACGCGAAATTACTATCTGATTCCATTCAGACTTGTTAGATCTCAATATTTCTATCAACATAAGATCTGTTATAAAGATGGTAGGGATCGGACCATTCCTTCTGGTACCTCCCCACAAAGGGTCAAAGTTCTGAATAACCAAAACGATTATAAAATCCAAAATAAGCATCTGGTTCTCTTCATATTTCACACATCCCATTATTTCTACTAACACAAGATCTGATGTGGAGATGAAATATATCGGCACACTCCTTCTGGTACCTCCCCCACAAAGGGTAAAAATTTTGAATATCCATGAAGTCCATAAAACGCGAAATTACTATCCAATTCCATTCAGACTTGGCACATCTCAATATTTCTATCAACACAAGATCTGTTATAAAGATGGTAGAGATCGGACCATTCCTTCTGGTACCTTCCCCACAAAGGGTCAAAGTTTTGAATAACCAAAACGATCATAAAATCCAAAATAAGCATCCGGTTCTCTTCATATTTCACACATCCCATTATTTCTACTAACACAAGATCTGGTGTGGAGATGGAATATATCGGCACACTCCTTCTGGTACCTCCCCCACAAAGGATAAAAATTGTGAAGCCCATAAAACGCAAAATTAACATCCGATTCCATTCAAACTTTGTTCATCTCAATATTTCCATCAACACAAGATCTGTTATAAAGATGGTATATATCGGACCATTCCTTCTGGCACCTCCCCCACAAAGGGTGAAAGTTTTGAATAACCAAAACGTTTATTAAATCCGAAATAAGCATCTGGTTTACACACATCACAATATTTTTATTAACCCAAGGGCTGGGGATATCGGCCCACTCCTTATGGCACCTCCCCACATAGGGTTCAAGATTTTTTGAATAACAAAACGCTGAATGAAAGCGAAATAAGCACCTAACTCTCTTCAACTTCCAAAAAGCCAAATATTTTTGCAATATCGCAAGATCTGTTATAAAGATGATATGTATCTGCCAACCACTTCTGGTACCACACCTACCCATGTCGCGGCTTCTCTAAATGATTTGGAAAGTTCTAGAAGGATCAGAGTACATAAAGGGCTTTTTGACTAGCTTAAGTCATCGCCTTTCTTCTTCGTAGAGGAATAAAGGAGTTTTAGTCTGACTTATTTCGATTTTGACCCTACACTCCTTTGTTTTTTTTTCCGAAGAAGACAGCCAATGACTTAAGCCAGTCAAAAGTGTTTTATGTATTCTCACCTTAAGAAATCTACCCATACTGCTAAGAAGGAGCTTCGAGTAAACATTATTCCTGAAGTTCCTGAGGAGACGAGGGCTTACAGAGCCTCATGCTTAGCTTTTGTGCCATGAAATCAACACTTCCTTCGGAGATTCAAATTCTCCAATTTCCTATAAATTTTCTCGTTTTTTTTTAATTTCAAAGTATTTTTAATCTTCCGAAAAAAATCTCCATATCTTAAACCCATCATCTCATCTCAACCCATCACCACAAAGTGATGATAAATGTTTGATTTGTGGTTTCTTGTGAATTCAGAAATTACCTACAATTTGTCTGTTTTTTGGGGGTGAGATGAGGTGAAGGGGGTTCCCAAAAATGGTTAACAACCAATCAACAAACAAACAATAAGACCCACAAAACAACATGTTGTTATGGTAAGTTAACATGGCAATCAGGCGGCCAACGGCTGGATGGCTAAGCCCTAAACACATCAAAGACCACTAGACCATTTTAAATCCCATTGAGGAGGAGGATGGAGGAGGAAAAATCTTAAAAAAGTGTTTCGAAAAAAAATCAAATAATTAGAAAATAAACTTATTGACCTGTCAACAGGCAAACAAACGTAACCGAAACTACTCCCAGGTACTTAAAAATGGATAACATGGCTTAAACAATGACGAAGAGAGTGAGTGGTGGTATCATTGAATGGATGAATGAAATCAAAGAGTTACACAAAAACAAAAAGGCACTTTGAAATCTCTACAGAGACAGGGGAGGGAGGGGGAGATATGTGTCAATTTTGTTTGAGTGAATGAAAGACAACAAAAAAAATTGAATTTTTGAAAATAAATATAGTTGTCATTTGTTGTTTTGTTTTTATTTCAATTTTGTATTTTTCTTTGTTTTTTTTTTTTTTATAGAAGAAGTGTTCCTTTGAAGCTGTCCATTATGGCCCAAAGTTTCATGACCCAAGCCGATCTCAATGAGGCCACCAAATTACAAAAACGCCAGCAGTTTGAGGAGGAGCGCAAGAAACGCATTTTCAATGCCAAGCAACGTTTGTATGGGGTAAGAAGGAAGCAGAGGAAGTTTTCCCAAAACATTTCATGAATCAAAAATTTTGAGGGGATGAGAAGGGCGGAAAATCGTACCTTTTCCTGTCAAATTTTTGAAGTAACCTTTAAGGAAGTATTGGTGGTGACAGGCAGATAATAAAATATTTCAAAGAAAATCTTTCAAGGAAGGCAGGAATGGGTGCCTTCCTTTCTGCTCTTTATCAAGACCTCAAAAGTGGCTGGAAACAGTTTCGGATTCTTCATTTTTGTGTTTTTTTTTTAACAAAAATTCGGGAAGTGCTCATGGAATATTTCAGTAACTGATCACCTAGATTTTACGGAAAATTTCAGTGAAGGAAACCAGAAATGTTGGCCGGAAAAACGAAAATCTTTATCTTCAGAAACTAGAGTTCTGAGGATGAGAAAGGGATGAATTCTCATCCTCAGAGCTCTAGTTTCTTTGATTTCTTTGAAGACAACATTTTCAATTAAATAGCTCCCTCCCTCTCTCCTTGTGTCTCTCTCTATCTCTCTCTCTCTGTGTATAGCTCGACATTCCCACAATAGAGCGACAAATTGCCGAGAAAAACAAAACCCGTCAGTTGGAGCAGGAACGGGAACGTCGCCATGAAGAACAAACGGAAATGATGCAAAAAATCATCCATGCCAAGGAATTGGAGATGGAGAAACGTAAACGTTTGGCAGAAAGTGATTTGAATTTTTATCGTTGCCGTTTTCAAAACAAAGAACAAAGGCGGGAATTTGATCTCAACGATCCGGAGGGTATGAAAAAATCCAAGCCAGCACGTAATGCCGATGATGATATTACCTTGGGTATTTCAAGTGCTCAAATATTTTTGGGTGAAGATTTGGGACATCGTGAAAGGCAGCGAAGGCAAAGGGAACAGCAACGGGCCTGGTTGGATCAACAAATTGCAGAACGTAAACAGGCCGAAAATGCCCGATTGCAGGCTGATCGGGTCCTGCAAGAATCCATACAATCCCGAGATCAACGTCTCGAAGAAATGGCCAAATCGGAAAGGAAGACACGTAATCAAATCTTGGATTCCCTACAGCAGTATAACAACGAGTTGGCTCGACGTAAACGTGATGAACGTTTGCGCCAACAAAAGGAAAAGGCCGAAGATGATTTAGCCGAAATCTACAATATGCTGTCCAGTGATATGCTCACCGAAAATCCCGATGTGGCCCAGTCACGTACACATCCCAACAAAAAGATTGCCTTTATGTATCGTGGCATGACCCCAGAGGAATTGAAAGATTTTCGCCGTGATCAACAGCAGCAAATGGTGGAACGTAAAAAACACGAAACGGAACAGCAACTGATGGACAAACAATGGGAACAATATGCCTTGAATATGGATCGTGAGCTACAGCTTAAGGATCGGGAAATGGAGCGACGAAGGCAAAAGGAATATGCCAAGATTTTGGAAGAGAATGATCGTCTGGCAAGGGAACAAAAGTTGCAGAAGGACTTAAATGATCAGATAATGCTGAGTAATCGTGTGACACAGGAATTCTATGACAAGTTTAATACAACAACGCGTTAGGGAAGAAATTGAGAAATTGAGGGGAGGAAACTTACAAAAATTTGGAACAAAAAATAAAAATTTTAAATAATTAAAAGAAATTGCAATTAATTATAATTTTAATGGAACAACAGGTTAGGAAAGATTATTACAAAATATAAAAAAAAATACAAAAAAAAAATTGTGAAAAAATAATGAATTGAAATTATTTAAAATAATTATAAAAATTAAGAAAATTTGGAATAAAAAATAAAAATTTGAAACAATAAAAAATACCATTAATGATTTTAATAGAATAACAGGTTACAGAAAATTTTTACAAAATATGAAACAAATTAAAAAAAATGGGAAAAATAATGGATTTAGATTACAATTTGAAATAAAACTCGATTTTGAAATAACAAATGTTTAGACTATTATTCAAGAAAAAAATTTACAGGATAATAAAAATTTTTATCTTCAGAAATTTACAGCATACTTTTAGGTGCTTCCAATCAAGAAATACATTGGCAAAATATAGACCAATTAGTTCTTCAAAATTAATACAAAATTTGTCATTTGGATGTCTATAACTACATATCAAGATATAGTAGCCGGTAGACACGACAATTTTCCAAACACATACACATGCATACCAAATAAAGAAGCAACAGGATATCAACACACGAAACACACATGAACAAGAAAACCCTCAGCTGCTACTCGGACACACAAGAAAGCCATTTCTGAGGAATTTCTCAAGTGTTGTCTTTCCTTTTCAGATCATTTTCTTTAACTATTCCATGTATAATTAGAAAAATGTGAAGAAAAAAAGGACTCAAGGAAATAAAGAAGAAATAGAAAAAAGGATGAAAATAGTATCCTACAATGATATGCAATTGAAAATTTTCCTTGAATTTGAAACAACAAATGACTTCAGAACCACCTCATCAATTATATGAACAATGGTAAAAAAAAGAGAGAAAGAAAAATGAATGGAGACTTTTTTTACAATCATGCCTAAGGTGGTACTTAAGGTCTAAAGGATAAACATTGAATGGATGAATCGAGTTAATTGATAAGCCAAGTTATTGAACAACTCGTGGGGACTAATGAAAAAAGGGTATTCTTTGAATGAAAGATTTTTTTTTTTTTTTGGGAAAGAGGGGAAATTTTCGTCAAAATATTCTATTTCATTAGGAGTCATACATTTTTAAGAAATAAATTCCATATTCATGGGTTAAAAGGAAAATCACATGATAAATAGAGTGGGGTGGCCATCATCTGATCTGAGATGTTGGAAATAGTTTCAAAAATAAAAAAATTGTATAACAATATTGAATTACAAAAGAATATTCTACTTAATTTCACCTCTCTTCAAAACAAAATTCTCCATTTGGCAAACAACTGCTTTCAAGGACATTTAATTTTTCCGTTTCTTTAATTTAATTAAAATAATATCTCTCCCCGCGACTGTCACGAAAAATCTCTAACCTTTTCACATTTAATTACATGCCTTTAAATAAGAAAGAAGAAAAAACTACTGTGAACGTCATCATCATCATCGTCGTTTCTCATTGTTTTCGAGGTGACATTTTAAAGCGCAACAATTTTCTGCTTGACTAAAAAACAACCTCTAGTCCTCTTTGTTGTAATATTGCGGCGGATGTCTTCTTCTACTCTCATGTTTTTTTTTTACATTTGATCCTTGAAATTTTGCTTTGTTTTATAATTATTTTCAACTTTAACATTTTGTTTGTTGGCTGCTTTTTCATTGTAAGGTGGGTGGATGTCGTCGTCCCCGTCATTCAAGTGGGTTACTTTTTTAATTATTTTGTGTTGTGCTTTTTTTTGCACTTCGTTACACACATAACAACAACAAAATATTGTCCTTTTTCTGATTCTGCAAGGATGCGTGTTATTTTCTGGTTTGTTTTCCTTTGTTTGAAAAAAAGCAAAGATGATGATGACGACGACCTACTACAAAACATACACAACTCAGATGATGGCCACCCCACTCCATTTAACACAATGCCGCCTCCCTCATTCTCACTCTCTCTCTCCATTGTCATAATGCAATTTTATCATTTAGCATGTTATGATTATGCTCATAACGCCTCTTGTTTATGTGAGAGTAGAGAGAGAGAGAGAATTTTTTTTACTTTTGCTTTCATTTTGTCTGTGCCCTGAGACTTGGTGTTTATATTTCGTGGGTGGTGATGTTGCCACTGCTGTTGTGTTGTTTTCCTTTTTAAGCCTTTTTAATTGCTTAAGGATGTGTTTGTTGATTGTGATATTCATGCACACAATACAACATGTGTTGTTGTTGTGTGTGGTAAAGTTTTATACGATATGGGTTATTATAGGTTCCTTGTGCTCTTTTTTTTTTGCCACAAAACGGTTGGCATGCTGTTTGACAGACATAATAACACATCTTTTATCTTGTTGAACATGCCAACACACCACAGCCCCCACATATATGAGAGAGCAGCCGCCGCCTGCCGGCTGAGAATGAGAAAGTGTCAAAGTACTTTTTATAACCTCCTTTTTTTGTATTCTCCCATCATAAATGACAGAGACACTATTAATTTTACTTTCTTCTGTTGTCAAAGCCTTTGAGGCGGCAGGCATTTAAGGTTGCGTTGTGCATTTTGGCGGGCAAAATGTGACGGAATTAAAGAATTTGGCATTTTTAAAGGGAAATAATTAAATTAATAAGAAAATTATTAAAGAATTTGCCGCTTTAAAGGGAATATTAAAGGAATTATGAAAATAATAAGAAAATGATATATTCAGCTGGTGAATCGATTTGTTGAGTGTAAAGTGCTAAGCAAGAAAGTTATGATTAAAAAAAAAACAGAAAATAGAAAAATTATGCTGATATCTACTTTAAGTGGCAGTGGTGATGAAAAAGCATCTAATGATGGCGAGAAATATAATACTGACAAATAATGGCCAATCTATTTTTTACTTTTGCTACAAAAATTTGAGGTTATGTTGCTAAATTTTGTGTCAATAATTTAAGGTTAGAGAAGAGGAGCAGAAAGGGTAGTATCGAAGAAGACTAAAACCTTTTTTAATTTTTTTCCTTTGAATCTATTTGATTATCTTAAAGTTTTCTAATGTATTTTTCTTATTTTCATATACCTTCAGAAAATAATTCCCCCATACATGAAAAACGTTTCCCAAGCATTTCTTAATTTAAATGTATTTCTGAAAAAAAAGAAACAGGCTCATCAGGATGCACAACATATGGCTGTGTGTTTTTTTCTTTCCAACATATTTGTTGTTGTTTATATTGGAAAAAAGGAACACTGAGCAAAGAATTTTCATCTTCTTACAGGCAGATGTTTTCCACAAGCGTAATACATACATACATTGATACATTGAGACGACGACGAAGAAGAAAAAGGTCCTTTCTTTCTTTGTTGCTTTAATGTGACATGCAATCAACGGCATTGCAGCAGCGGCAGCATGTGATTGTGTGTATGTGTAGTTTTTCTTCGTTTATTTACAAAAGAAAAAAAGATAAAAGAAATGGAAATGGACACAAACACCTTTCAAGCCAAAACACAGACAAAGACACACACAAGCGGTGGTATAGAAATTTTGTAATCTTCTGTGTTTGTTGTAAAATTTGTGTGATGGGCAAGAGAGGTAGAGATAAGGATCGTTTGGGTTTGTTTTTTTTTTATTATGATCCTGCCTGTTTCATTATACATAACAAGTAAATAAATATAAAGAAAATGGTTAAAGGTTACTAAACATAAATTATAGAGAATTGTGCAAGGGCCAGTTGTGGCGACACAGCAGGAGTCTTCAAGAGAGTTTTCTTTCGTTTTACTTCATTTTCAAATATGTGTGTCCTGTAAACAGTGAAAATGATAAGACATTTGAAATTATGGAGATCCATTTCTCTATCCATTAAAATTTAACCATTCATTTTTCAAGTAACACAAAGGTGTGTCTCGATGACTAACCATGCCATCCCAGAAGAGTTTCCTTTGATGTCTAATTTTGAAAAATTTTATGTACAGTCCCCACCACTGTTGTTTTAGGGGTTGTTTTTTTCTCAATGTAATGTGTTGTACATGTTCAGGATAGGTCATGTGTCACGATCGCAGCCATCCATGCATACACACATACAAACAATTAAATTTTTCACGTCAGCTGCAGTGGTTGTAAAGTGCCATGGCAGAGGATAACAATAAGGTGTTTAATTTGAATACAGTTGGGTCTCGGATGATTGCAGGACATGCTTGATTTTGTCGTTAGATTGTTGGAAATTTTATAAAAAGAAAATGTAAATGAAGGAAGATGATGAAATTCATGTTTTGTAATATTCAACTCACATTTGCTTTTGAAAATAAGCCACCACTTTTATTTTCCAAAAATTTCATTGAATTTGGCTGAAAGCAAATTTCGTTAATTTTAATGAAAGGAAATTTCATTATATTTGCTTGAGTTCCAAAAAAAGTGATCTAAAACTGGAATATTTTCAAATTTTGTACCCACCATAACCTTACTTTTTATTTTTTCAATTTTTATTTAATTTTAATTTATTCGTTTTGAAAACAAGAATGTTAATTAAATTTGTTTGAGTTCAAAAAAGATAGCTAAATTAGAAATTTTTAAAATTTTGTACATCTAAACTCACTTTTTATTTTCTCAATTTTTATTAAATTCAAACATTTTTATTACTTTGACATACCGAAAATTCTATGAAAGTAGATTAAGTCACAAAAAGTGAGACAAATTTAAAAAATTCCAATTTTTTCAAACATAACCTCACTTTTTATTTATTTTTTTTTAATTTTTATTTATTTTAATCTTGTTTTGTTAATTTTGAAGATGAAAAATTTTTTTAAATTCGGTTTAATAAAAAAATGAGTTAAATTAGAAATTTTCCCCACATAACCTCACTTTTTCACACCTAACCTTACTTTTTATTTTTTAAACTTTTATGAAATTTAAATATTTTCTTGACTTTGGCATACCGAAAATTCTATTTTACTAGGTTAAGTAGCAAAAAGCAAGTAATTTTGAAAAATTCCATTTTTTTCAAACATAACCTCACTTTTTTTTTTTTTTAATTTTTATTTATTTTAATCTTGTTTTATTAATTTTTAAGATGATAAATGTTATTAAATTCTATTTAATCCAAAAATTGAGCTTAATTACAAAATTTTCCACACATAACCTCACTTTTTCACACATAACCTGACTTTTTCACACCTAACCTCACTTTTTATTTTTTTTAATTTTTATTAAATTTAAATATTTTCTTTACTTTGGCATACCGAAAATTATATTTTACCAGATTAAGTCGCAAAAAGTAAGTCAAATTTGAAAAAATTCCAATTTTTTCAAACATAACTTCATTTTTTATTTTTTTAATGTTTATTTATTTTAATCTTGTATTATTAATTTTGGAGATGAGATATTCCATTAAATTCTATTTATTAAAAAAGTGAGCTAAATTAGAAATTTTCCACACATAACCTCACTTTATATTTTTTCAATTTTTATTTAATCTAAACATTTTTATTAATTTCAAAAACTGATTTCTTATAAATCGTGGTTCTGTGACAAAATATGGACTAAATACGAATGTTTTCAAATTATTCAATCACAACCTCACTTTTTGAGTTCTCAATTTTTATGTGATTCGACAGAGGTTTTTGTTAGTTTAAAAGATAGAAATTTGAATCACACATGGCTTGATGACATCAAGCGACCAAAATGTGTTTTTCTTAATTTCCACACCTAACCTCACCTGTTATTTCCTCAAATTTTATTAAATTTAATCCATTTTAACTATTTGGGAGACAGAAAATGGTATCTTTTCCCCAAAAATGATATTTTTTCTTCCATGAACTTTTCTGTTTGTGTGTGTGTGAGTGAATCCCAAAAATTAATAAAGACCTAATAAGAGGTAATTGTGTCCCCCCCCAAAAAATCAATTAAGTTACTTTGTGCAAAACTAACAAATATTATCACCTACTAACTTCCTTTTCTTCCACATCCCATACCTTAACCTATTTGTACAAGGTCCATTAGAAGAGACAAGAAAAACATCTTTTGCCGGAAGTTATGGCAAATTAACAAACACCTTATAACAAAAGGCAGCTGGTGGTAGTGGTGGTGGTAATGATGATCCTGCCACCCGCCTCCTCCAATTCCATTTGTTATTTCAAGGAACTTGAGACACAAAAGACAAAGAGACAGCACTTAAGAGAAATGGCCTTGCTTCAATTAACCTGGGCGCAAATAATTCATTAACAAAATAATACATTATTGCGTATGTCGCACACTTCCTTTAATTAATAACAGAGTTTTCTTACAAAACAATTTAGCTTGGCTCGCACATACACATACTTAGGTATATTTTCCTACCTTGGCTGTTTGGAGAGAGAACAAAAAAGACAAACAACTTCTTAAGTAATTGTATTAATGAAAAAAAAACCTAAGAATTTGTTACGACAATAATGGGAAGCATAACAGTACAACAACAGCGACAACACCTGGAGCCAAAGAAAAATAAGGAGAAAAAGAAGGTGGAACCTTCCTGCATTAACTGAAGGTAGAATGTACATTTTGGGCGTCATTGCTTTGAACAAGGTTTTCTTCTTAATTTTGGGCTATTAAGGATGTGTATAAAACTGTCATTTGGAAATGTGTTGGGAGACTTTGACTGTACCCCACCAAATGGTATTATGATATGGGTCAATGACTTAATGCCAACATAAGTTGTTTTAAAAATTAATTTGGTTTTCTCCGACGAGAAAACATTCGTTGTCCAGCAGTTTGTAAATAAACAAAATTATCGTGTTTACTTGCCAAAGAGGTCAGCAGAAAATGTGCACCTTAGGTTGGCCACCAGGACTCAAGCGCCGGCCATGGCGCCACCAGAAGGTGTGGGCCGCCATAACAGCCGATGCTCGCTCTCCGCTCGTATTAATTGACCGTGGTATCGCGAAAATATGCTGGAGTGTGTATTAAAGCCTTGGGCACGCAAACACTTTGGCTGCAGACCATGGACATTCTAACAGGCTCAGCACGCGCCTCGATTACCTCAAGCAAGCGCTTCGCCGGGAATGGGCCAAAATGCCGCAGAGCAACATTCGGGCAGCATGTGGCGGTTTCATTGGCCGCTTGAGGGCCATAATTCGTGCCAAGGGCGAGCAATTCGAACAAATCTAAACTTATTCTAAAATGTGATGCTATTTCCGACATTTTTTGCTTTCATTCAGAAAATTTTAAAAAATGTAAAAATTATGGCGTTTGACTTTGTTGCAGTTGTTTTTCATCTCACCCTGTACTTGTTGTTCTTGGCATTAGATCTCCAAACCCTTTCGGTTATTTTATTACTGTTACGCTGGAGGTTTTTATTTATATTTATTTAGTAGATATCTTCTACTACAAGTCTTCTCTTTTTATTTTTGTTTCTGTTTTTCTTTCTTTCAAGTAATGCTGAGGGGTACTAGTCATCATCTTGCTGCTGTTGTTGTTGTTGTTTTCATTTATTCATAGAACTGTTGTTATGATAAGGACGTTGTATGGGATAAACAAATACCTACCTACCTAAACCTAAACACAACAGCAAAGACAACAATTTCCTAAATTGTATTCACCCCCCAGGAGTTAAGAAAGAAAGAAAAAACCTTAAAACAGATAAACACAAAATCCCAAAATAATAACAACAGGCGGCTCATCACATGGTTGGCAGTGGGAAAAATTCAAGGCAAACCATTAAAATATTCAAAAACAAACCTTGATTATCCTTAAGCTTAAGAAGAGCATCAGCATCATTTTATGGTCTGGAGAGCATTGTAACAGACAATGGTTATTAAATATTAATAATTTACATTCGTATTTTTGAAATGTAAATGGGGAAAAATAAAATTTAAAAATTGAGTTTTTGAATTTGTGAAAGTGGTATGGGACCCGTGGGGGTGGTGGTCTGCATCAATGGGAAAACGCTTGAAAGGTCGTTTATGCATAGCAAATACAAAGACGTTCCTGTAGAAGCGGTTTTTATGTTTGGAAGGTCGGTGTTTTACATATAGCCCTTTGGAAGCCTTCCGAGAGGTCGTCTATAAATCTTTAGAATTTGGTTTAGAGCCTTTAAAAATGTGTTAAAGACACCCTCCTTAAATTTTATTTTAGAGACCTTTAAAGAAAGTCATTAAAGGACCTTTGTATGGTCTTATATTTGCAGAATACCTCATGAAGGTCTCCCAAAAATTATCAGGTCTTTAGAAGACTTTTTATACATATTTCAAATTAAAATAATAATAAATAAAACACAACTACAACAATTCCTCTTTCTTTTTCTTGTTTTCTTTTTTCTTTTCTACTTTTTTGAACACCTACCTCACTTTCACGGAAGTACTCCAAAATATTGCGTTGATATTCCACAACTTCAAAGAAACGCTGGCGATCGTTGCGTGGCACTGCTGACTTATCATCCTCTAGGTCTTCGCTTGTTTTAGCAACACTCTTGACATTGCTATTGTCGAAAAATTTCGCAGCCGATGCACTACGATCCACAGACATGGGCGATAGAACATCCGATACGGACATTGGGGTTGTATCCAAAATATATTCATCATGATTGTCATCGAATTTGTGATGAAGGTCACTGAGGAGAAGAGAAGCAGGGAGAAAAGAAAAAATTAATAAAAAAATCTAAAAATAAAAATGCGATCTTGTAACCCACCTTCTTTCACTTAAAATATTATGATGTTGTTGTTGTTGCTGTAAACGTTGTTGTTTTTCATGAAAAACATTTTCCTTGTCAACAACATCCTGACTAGTTACTGCATCATTTTGTTTATTTATAGCGGCCACCAATTGCTGTTGTTCGACGTTTTCATTGTGATCCTCATAAACGGAAAAGGTTTTAAATTGTTCCACCGGCACCACTGTTGATTTTTTACCACCCAATGTTTGGTCGTCCTTTGTGCTGTTTTTAACATTGCCAACATCGCGGAAGGCCTGTTTGGGGAAGGAAAAGAAAATAAGAAAAATTAAAATCAAATAATAAAGGAGATAAAAAAACACAGATCAGATTCCTAAATGGGTATTTTAATTTCTGTCATCCTTTATCCTGTTTTCCTTTAGAGTACTTGAAATAATACTGTTATGTCAAGCCGATTTAAGGGTCCGACTGTATTTCAGAAATGCATTATTTACGGCGTATTTGGAGACAAACTTCCCGCAATACAATGTATGCAATATAAATCCCTCGTTTATATCCATATTTCCCCAAACTGCCAAGGGATGGATTATACGGCTTAGGTATAATAATGAGCTAACATACGGACAAGTGATTCTCGCTTATCTTTAGCTAAGATCTAGTACAACATGCTCGACTACAGCAATCTCCTTCCCAAAACAAGTCCTTAAATGTTGAATTTTCTTTTAAAAGAATTCAGCTGACATGTAATAATTTGATGTTTTTGTTATCTTTACACGGATTCCTCTTATTTGATATATTTTAAAACGCTTCGCTTGGTTTTGGTTAACTTAACATGTTTTGTGTCACACAAGAGATCTTAAGGGGATTTCCATTTATTTTACAAAAAGATGGCTGATTCGGATAAGTGATCCCCTCCCTTTATTATAAAAGTATACAAATTAAATACGCATGATATTTTACTTCTCGTCCTAATCAGAAATATATTCCTTGAATCATGGTTCTGATGCCGCCATACTTCTCAATGTTCAGCTATTTCCATGGCCTAAGGCAATGTAAAATGCAGTTGGTAATATTAGCATGATTTTTTTATGGCCTTCTGCTACTTGTGTTTCATTTGGTCTATTATTACAATTAAGTAATATGATCCAAGGGTGGGAATTTACAAAAATTATAATTTTTTTTTAAAATAAAAAGCAAAATTTTGCTCCATAACTCCCTTCAAATTATCTTCTTTGGGCGCTGCTCTCTTTTACGTTGTATATTTGATGGGAAAAATCCTGTTACACATCAAGTACTTTTGATGAGGAGAGAGAGAGAGAGAGAGAATTGATATTTCTATCAAAACGACCCTCTGTGTGTGTTTTTTTTTTTACTTTTGCTGTTTTTCTATTGAAATGTAATGAGACTACAAAAAAAGGGAGAGCGAGTGTCAGAGAGAGTACTAGTGCATGTTGTTTACTTCTCCATTGTAAATGTAAACTGTGGTGTGTTGTTATTGCAGCTGCTAAATTACATTGTAGTTGTATGGATTGTTTTTGTTTTGTTGTTGTTGCCATTAGTGCAATAGGAAAACAAGAAGGAAATTGCTATGATTGCTTTTGCCTTGTCTATGTGTTGGTCTATTCTCTGCAGAGAGAAGCTGACATTGCTTTGTTTTGAATTGTAACGGAAAAATGGCGGGAAAATGCTATGGAATGTAAACAATCAAGAGTGCGAAGTAACACATCGAAGAAAATGGATATTTGGTAAAGGGAAAAGCAGGAAAAAATATAAGAAAATCGATCGGTTTATAATAGAAATGAAAGAAATATGAATTTTTGCTCGTGTATTACATAAATTGTGGACTTTTTATAGAGTTGTGGAAAAGTTCTTTTGGTTAACAGGAAAGGCAATGCAGAAATCATATACTCTGAAATAATGGACTCTATCAAAGGTAAGATAGGTTCATTGTAGCAGAATTAGCAATGTATTTGCCAATAATTTAATATCGAGAGTCTAAATCCAATACAGATTATTTCAATTGTGACCTCAAGGTTGATTCTCTGCAGAAGGCTTGTGGCGTTTAAAAATACCAAGTGAATGGAATATGGAAAGTTGAACGACCGATGTTTACAACAAGGTAGCCATTAATAATAGTAGGTATGCCTCGCTATCATTTAGGGGTGAGTATTGAAGTGGCCTACTACTTTTATGTCTGTCTTTATAATCAGCATTTTTTTAGGGAAGATAAGGGAACATGCATTGGAGAAGTCTCAAAAACGATGGAATTTACGCAAGTAGGTAATGAACGGAATTCTTGTTGTTATAGCAACACTATTGCTTTTAAAGATCTGGGTGAATTGGCAGTGCTTAGCAGAGTAAAACTTGGTCATTCTGGATTGTCTGGATTTTTACAAGGAACACTCAGAGGGATAAAATTCTAAAGACGACTTATAGGTAAGTCAAAAAACAAACATCTAAAATTGAATTTCTAATTTATGGCTTTTGCTTCCTTCCAACTTGTCCACATAGGCCTACACATGATTGACTTTATAAGAGAAAACACACTTACATTTTCATCTCCTATTCAGAAATTATGCTGTCGTAAAAATGTCCAAACTTAATTTAGACGTTGTGGCAAATATTTAAGTTGATTAAATGATCATTCAAAGGCGCACATGATGTCACAATAAATATAAACAAATCATGGAATATTTAAAAAACCATTCAATTGATTGTTACCTAGAACGCAACCACGATTCAGCTCCTACCCCTCCTCCCCCCGCCAGCACTATTCCTGGCAAAGATATTGTCGGTGCTGTGAATGTAAGAAAAAAAGGTCGCCTATTTGGTTGCGGCTTCTGATAAGAAATTACACATTTCCAAGTCACAGAATTGCCTTCAATATTTTGTCATAAAAACCATAACCAAATAAAGATCGAGCGGGCAACCAACACCACATGCGGGTCGGTCAGTGGTTGTATGATAGACTTTCAACAACACAAACAACAAGAAAAGTCGCGTGCTTCCTCCACACACAAAAATTAAGTGGTGAAGCGATGCGAGGAAGAAGGGAAAATTGCCACCAATTGTAGCCAAGAAATAACAACAAAATATGAAAAGAATATTATAATAAACAATTACCCAAGGGGTCGAGCTTTTAGTTATCTGGGGGAATAGGAGATAGGAAGCAGAGGGCTGGCGAGTGAGCTCGACCATACTCGATAACTCAAAGAAAACACACATTCTAAATTTGATTAGGAAGAATTTCCATATGTGCTGTTGTTTTAGAATAAAAAATTAACAAAAAATAATAAAATAAAGTAAATTGGATAGGCTTTCTTCTCTTGAAAAAAAAAAAAAAAAATGCAGAAGTATATCTCTTTGAAAAATGTGGCTTCCGTGGAGCCTAAAATTAATGGAGCTGATTGAATGGTGTATTCTATTAATTATTCCTAATTTATATGATGCCCAGATAGCCCTCAACACCCTCATTCTATTTTATGATGATTTGTAAACAGATCAAAATAAATGTAAACATTTAAAATAAATCATCAAAAATATCAAAAATATCTCCACATTTCATCTACTTTTATTACTTCTGTTCGGAACAACAACAAAGATAATTTCCCCAAGCCAGTTTTTAACTTTTCCTTAAAAATTTTGATGTTTTAGTTTCATTACATTGTCTTTAAAAATTAAATAAATAGCAAATCTTAGCTTAATCGCATATAAAACCCACTTGGCAACCCTTTTTCACACAAGGAAGATGTCAAAAAGGAGACTCAAAATATGACACTTTTAAATTGGCGCTCTGGCAATGACACGCATTAAAATATTAAAGACGAGTGGAAAACAGATGACAACGAAAAAGCAAAGGAAGAAGGGGACAAAAAATTAATAAATTTATTTAAATTGAGCTTAGAAGAAATGCGTTTTTTGCTGAAATATTCATCATTTTCTTCGTTGTGGCTCCCTCTCTCTCTCCCTGTTGGAGAGAGAACACTACAAAATCATATGGACATTTATACATGATTTTTAATATAAAAAACATGAGTATTTTTGTGAAAATGATCTACATTTTATAAAAATTAGCATATTTTGAAGAAATAGGGCATGTCTTTTAAACATTTTCACTGAAAAATTCTTTAATAAATTAAACAAGACATCCGTGTCTCTTTTGAAAAAGAGAGCAAGAGAGAAACACTTGATATTTCCTTTTCCAATACAAAGGCATGTGGAAGAAATTGATACAAAATAATGTGGATATTGATAGAAAATATAAAATTTAACATGGATTTGATGTATGTTTCCTTTTGCATTGTTCCCCAAATTCCAGCAACAAAGAAGGTACCCCAAAAGAATAAAAACCATGGCAAAGTGGCAGTGCCCAAAACGAGGATGTTAAAAAAAATGACGTCAGTTGCCGAAATAAAAAATTAAGAAGTAAACAACAACAAACCATGAAATTTCTCCATACTGCAAAAAATCCAAAACCACCACCAGCAACGAGCCAGTGACATTAACACACACACACACACACTGGCATAAATGTGTATTCCCATATGCATTAAAATTGTTTATATGGTCCCTTTCAGAAAAAAAAAGAAAAATAACACCAACAAAATATGTTTCATGATCTGATCTATGGAGGGGGTATTTTTTTTGTGATGACTTCGCCGTGGCTGCCACTGCGCAGTTTGCTAAAACTTACCACTTTAGAGCCGGCTACTCCTGTATGTACACCATGTATGTTGTTGTTATTATTGTTGTGAACGGCTGCCGCCGCCGTACGTACGTTGGCATTTGAATTGAGCACGGCAAAATTGGCGCGTCCTTGTTTCATAGAGACGCCACCAACACCCAGAGAGCTGGCACCCAAAGGCTGCAAGATATTGGATGCCGACTTGCCAGCCATCATGGTCTTCTCTTTGATCATGTTGCGAGGATTCTCCTTTCCAGCATCCTGCATGATTTGGAAACCAGCTGTGGTTTGTGTAGCGGCCATGGTTCGTTGGTTGTTTTGTCAAAAAAGGTTTTGTGAATTCGTTTTTTTTTTTCTTTTTGAAATTCTCTCACGCACACAATGACAAGAGCAGAAAATTATGCACAAAACAACAGCACAACAAAACGATTGACACAAATCACACGGAATACAGGGTGACGATGGAATTTTATGTGTAGAGGGGGAAGTTTAAATTGGTTTCTTTTGCTACAAAAATTAAACAAATTGCAATAAAAATTAATTTTTTGCTCTTTTTTTTTGGGGTAATTGAAGGAAAAGGTAGTTGTTACTTTAAAATTTTCAGTGCTTTGGTTTTTAAAATTTCTTTTCACTCTATTTAAGTTTTCCAAAATTCCCGTTTATTTTTTACACGAACAATTCACATATATGAATTTTGCATTTTATAAAATGGTTTACTTCTTTTTCCAAAAAAAATCGTGTCTTATGCTTTATCCTCGTTATGCTTACTTCTCACACTAAGCCAAGTCGTCGTTGTACACTGCACACACACACTACTACGCCTAGGCTCTGTTTTACTTCGTCTCAACAAGAAAACATTTAAAACAACACTTAACAAATTTCACACGAACTTGATTAGCTTAGCGCGTTCAAAGCCTAAACAAATCGACGTTTATTATTTTTTTTTTGTGTTAATAAAAAAACTTTTTCTTTAAACAAATTGCAACATTTTTATTCTTTTTCTTTTGGTTTGATTACTTTGCTTAGGCCTTAGCTCGGTAACTCTCACACTGGGATGTGTTGTTCTCTCGTTGCCGTCATGAATTGTATTGAGAATTGAGTTTGGGATCTGTGATCAGTGCTTGTATTTTTGAATTTGTGCGCCGACCAAAGGGATACGATGAAAGAGAAGTAGGATGGAATAGAAGTTGGAAAGAGATGGCGCTATGAACGAAGGGGCGAAAAACAAAGAACGAGGGTTAAGAGAGAGAAAAAAGATGTCAGATGAGCACTTCCGTCAAAGAGGGAATGAGAGAGAGCGAGCAAAGAACTTACATGGTTGCATTTCGTATTGATTGCTGGTAGTTTGTTTTTGTCAATACATTGGATATTTCCGACAAACAATACAAAAGGAATGAAGAAATATGACAGCCATGGCAATTACCAGAATTTGTAAGATCATTTTGCTGATATTTTTAAGAGTAAATGAGTTTTTGTTTATATTTTCTTTTTAATTTAAATGAGAATAATGTTTGCTGATATTCAATGACAAGAGTAGCTGTGTTCACTAAGCACTAAGTGTGTGAGTAGTTACTGGATGACGTGTGTGACGTATGGCAAATGGAGGCTTTGTAACAGAAATGTTAAAAGAAAATAAGTAAAACATAACCAAAATTGTTTCAAAAATGAATTAGAACTTGGATTTTTTAGTAAATCAAGGAAACTAATATCCCATGGAAGAAGAAATCTGCTTTGGACTACTCAGGAGTTAGTGGAAGGGTGTAAAAATTATGTTGAAATTATAGTCTTCTGTTAAAGATGAGATAGTCTTTGGTGCTTGGAATAATGTGGTCTCAAATAAGTAAATGTTTGCAAAATTATTAGCGGTTTAAAAAAGTTAAAAGCTACATTTTATATTTTAGAATCTACTGAAGATAAGCTGGCCAAATTGTGAATGTGGAACTAGAAAGAGAATAAAAAGAGGGAAGGAGCTTTAAAGAAGAGGTCATAAACGAGAAGTAATAGCATAAAGAAAGTTATCTCCTACTAAATAGTAATCGACAATAAGAAATCTACAACGATGATTTGGGGGCCTACAGCCATCTGTGGCAATCAGCCGCTGATTAGTGGTATGTTGCTTCGATTGAGTGCATGCATCGGGAATGTAAACGAGCGTACGTCTTTCATGTAGTGTCATGTCGTAACCTACCTTAAAAAAGTGTCTATTGTGATGGACTAGGTCAGGGACGTAGGCAGAAAGTGGTGAACAACTAAATTTTCAAAAATTGTCAAAATAGAAACAATTTCGGTGACTGTCCGAGTCCCAGTGACCTTCTACCTCTTGCGTATGTCCCTGGACTAGGACTAGGATTAATGGAATTTACAATATTAACTTAGTAATAACTTTTCAGATACTTCAAACCCTCCAAATTTGAAAACCAAGAAAGTAATGACAAAAAAACTTTAATTGAGGTTATCACTTTCATAATTCGATGATGTGGAGTCCTCGACGATAAATGAGATGGATCTTTGAAAGAAAGTTAAATGAAAATATCTTCAATTCGGTTCAAAAAACATTCCGATCGAAGAAAATTATGGCTGTCGGTGTGTAAACTACAAACGCCTACAAATCCACCTTTCCCCAAATGCTACGGTGTCATACATCAACTGATGGTCTACAAAGAGAAAGAGAGGGACATTCAATTCCAACAACAAAGTACCTCCCAGGTGACAGGGTACTTCTGGACAAACTACGTTCAGAATTGGATTGGTAGAACCGTGAATCTAACTTCCAAAACTACCTTATCCAATGATGATACGAATAGGCACAACTTTACTGGGTTATGTAGGGAGGTGTTAGAACCTTAGATTATGATTATGTTTGAACTGCATCCATCGCACAAGTTAAGGACACAAAACTATTTATCTGGGACCATTGGAAAATGGAAACCCTTTTCGCTGTCTTCTATAAACAGTACACCTCTCTCGAGAGAAGTCTTTCTAATGGGTTTCTGAAAAGGGTATCCATTCCACAGTCCTCTATATGGGAAGGGTCTAGAAAAAACTAAGGAATTTTTCGGAATACGATTGTAGCCTTGAAAAATTCTTAAAAATCCACAATGGCAACCAAAAGATATTTGTAAACACGCTGGTTAAAAATCAACGTAGATGGGCTGAGGAGATTTTTCGTACGAGCTATAATGCGGGATTTTTTTAACGATTTGAATTGAGGTTTGTTAGAGGATGTTATACCAATGGTTGGGTTAAATGGTCACTTCTAGTGCTCGACCTGCATGAGTTATATAATCGGTCAAAATGAGTTATCCATAGGCGAGCCTAATGGGAGTCTATCTATAGACGTGCTGAATGATATTATGTCCATAGTAGCAAAATGGTAGTTTAACTATAGACGATCCGAAGAGAAATCTTTTCATAAACGAGCTAAATTACGGTCTATCTATAGAGGTGCTATTCATAGACGAACTGAAGAAGATTATTCGAGTTGAATGGGAATCTAACTAAAAATCAATTGAAAGAGTTAACGAGCTGAAGGAGGGAGGGCCTCCTTAACGATTTCCGCTGGTGAGTATGAGTTGAAGGACGAGCTCAGTTATTATAATTTATATTTTTATAAACCTTTTTTAGCATATGTCACCACATACAAATTCCAATGGTTTAGATTCCTAAATTACCGTATGCCACATAACCGCCAAAAATTCCAACGGAAGGAACCATCAACAACACAAACAAAGAATATTGTGATGGTATGTCATGTAAGACCTGGCTACTAGGATATGATTATAATAATCTTACACAATGCAAGAGTTAGTTAATTTTGAGTGGTAGTAGTGGTGGTGGTGTTGGTGGCGTTGATGGCGCTGTTGTCATGCTACAACTGTTGCATACTACAAGGACACATATCTATCCATCTGTATGTCATCAGTGTCCGGGGTATATATGGGTGTGTGTGTTTGTGCATTTCTTGCTCTTGGCATTGTGTCCTGTGTCCTTCTGTTGTTTTCGTTTTTGTTGTTATTGTTATTACATGATTGTCACACAGATGTGAGCTGTCATTAGCAAGCAAATACTCATCAAATTTACACGAGTTGAGTGTGTGTGTGCGTGTTTATGTGTGACCATTGTCTGTTGAAAGGATAGCTGAAACGATGTGAGGTTATGTTTTATGAAAATTGAGCGGGAAATATAATTTTCTTATTTCTTTGTAGTTTTTTTTGTGGGAATTAGACAACATTTACTGTTGCTTTAATTTTGTTGCTATTTTCATTCTTATAAGTTAAGGATTTGAGAGATTTTTTTTGTTAAGGGCAGGTAGTTACTTCAAGAAGATGGTTACATGACTGTCGCTGCTTCTGCCCTGCCTGTGAACAACGGGAATAATTTGCCATTTCATTGTTGCATTGATTTCATGTCACTAGCTATTTGTTGTTGTTGTGTGTATGCTGCATTCTTCATTATCCTCACCAAGGTGTTGTCGTTGGCATGTGTTCCCGGGCTCATTACTTCAAAGAGGTTTTGGATTTCGGGATTTTTTTGGCAAAAAATTTAACGCCCCGAAAACAAAAGATTAGCTGGCTGTAATGGTAAAAAGTTAAATATGTTCCAAAGACAATGAATGGAAAAAATTGGATTTTTTTGAGGAAAAAGAAAAGATGTTTTCATTCAAGATGATGCCATGGTTTGACTCAACTGGGACAGATGGTAGAGGGATAATGGAGTAACAAATAATTGAAAATTTGAATTCAAAAAATGTTTCTATGGCAAGGCATATTTGGTCTGATCAAGGAAATGCAAAGGATGGAATTGGAATTGAGAAAAAAATGGAAGAAAAAACCACGAAGTTAACCACAAAATCAAATTTCAAACAAAAACATAATTCAATATTTTCCAAAATAATTTCATTTCAATTTCTTTGATTCTGGAACATATGAATTTGATGTCCTAACTGAAAATAGCTTTTTAAAATTTAATTTTTTCTCAATTTTTATATAAAATTTCTGAATTTAAATTCATTTTTAAATCAGATCTTCAAAATTTTTGAGGTTAGAATCCCAGATTTCAAACAATATACTTTTTTTTATTCAAAAACACAATTTTTATTTGTTCTCAAATCGTTCAAATCAATATTTGTGATTCGGAAACATTTGAACTCTGTACCATTGCTGGCAACTCGCAATCACAATTGTTATCCCTCCCATATTCTTCTGGAAATGTTTTACTTAAAAATGCTTTTAAATAAAAAAAATATTTTTTTCCAACATATTTGGGGTTAGTATCGAAATTTATAAAAGAATGTATTTCTGAATTCTCACAACTCAAGCCAATTGCATTTGAAATTACTCAATTTAAAGCACTTTTTTTCATTTAAAGGAATGAGGTTAGAATCGAAATTTTTTTAAAGAAGGCATTTATCCTTTTTTTAAGTTTTTAAGAACTCAAGCAAATAGCTAAGGCAAAGTCAAAGAAAAAATACTACGAATCATGCAAAAGAATAAAAAAAATATTTTAAATTAAATGCTAACTGCACTAAATCAACAAGATGCAGGGTAAATATGGAGTCACCCAGAAAACATTTTTGGGAAAAAGATTGTTGAAAACCCGGATCACAAAAGGGAGTATATCTCAATAAAGGCGATGTGAGGGGGGATCTTATATCTGTGAAGAAGAGCCGAAAGAGAAAAGTAACTCAATAAAGCCGCATTAAAAGGAAATATTTCTGGCTGGGCCGAACTTTGAATACCCTCCACCATTTGGAACGAATTTGGCAATTCTCGAAAAAAAAAATTCTGTTAAAATCTTAAAAATACCGAATGTAACTGTTATATTAGGGTCTATACGACGACATGGACCTGCATAGGCAACTTTGGTCATAAGCCGTTACAATATTCAAATGCGAAACTTAAAAAAAATCGGTGGATAATGTAGCTAAAATCATCAAAATACCGAATATCGTGAGGTACCCTTATATGGGGGCTATACGAAGACGTGGCCCTGCACAGACAATTTTCTGTCCCAGGCTGTAGTATCCATTACGAAATTCAAATACCAACTTTGAAACATTTTCGGTGAATAATGTCCCTTAAATCATCAAAATGCCGAATATCGGGAGGTACCGTTATATGGGGGCTATACGAAGACGTGGACCTGCACAGACAATTTTCTTTCCTATGCTGTAATATCTATTACGAACTTCAAATACAAAATATGAAACAATTCCGGTCAATAATGTCCCTGAAATCATCAAAATGCCGAATATCGGGAGGTACCGTTATATGGGGGCTATACGAAGACGTGGACCTGCACAGACAATTTTATGTCGAAGTATGTAGTACCCATTACGAGCTTCAAATACCAAATTTGAAACAATTCCGGTGAATAATATCGCTCAAATCATCAAAATACCGAATATAGGGAGGTACAGTCATATGGAGGC